ATTGCAGCACTGTTCACAATAGCCAAGATATAGAAGCAAGCTGAATGTCTATCAATAGATAAATGGATAACGAAAATGTGGTATTTATATACAATGGAGTACTATTCAGCCATTAAAAAGAATGAGTTCCTATCCTTTGCAACAACATGAATAGAACATGAATAGTCATTATGTTAAGTAAAATAAGCAAGACACAGAAAGACAAACATAACATGTTCTCATTTATTTGTAGCATCTAACAAATCAAAACAACTGATCTCATGGACACAGAGAACAGAAGAATGGCTACAAGAGGCTGGGAAATGTAGTGAGACATTGTGTGGAGGTTGGGATGGTTAATGGGTACCAAAAAAGAGAATGAATAAGACCTACTATTTGATGGCACAATAGGGTAACTGTAGTCAATAATAATTTTATTGTACTTTTTCAAACAAGTTTAGCTTATCCAATCCATGGCCCATAGGTCTCATGCAGCCCAGGATGGCTTTGAATGCAGCCCAACACATATTCATAAACTTTCTTAGAAATTAGGAGTTTCTTGGCAATTTATTTTAGCCCATCAGCTATCATTAGTATTAGTGGATTTTATGTGTGGATTTTATGAATTCTTCCAATTCGGCCCTGGGAAGCTAAAAAATTGAACACCCCTGTTTTAAAATAACTAAAAGAGTAAAATTAAATTGTTTGTAACACGAAATATAAATGTTTGTGGGGAAAGATACCTCATTTTTCAGAAAATGATGCAATTATTATGCATTGCATGTTTATATCAAAATATCTCATGTACCCCATAAATATATACACCTACTATGTACCCATAAAAACTAAAAGTTACAAAAACAAACACAATCAAAATACATAAGAAACACAACTCAAAAACAAGAAAAAAAGAAACAATTTAAAGGTAGGCAATGGACCTGAATAGACATTTTTCAAAAGACATACAAATGTCCAACAAATATATTTTAAAATGCTCAACCTTCCTAATCACTAGGGAAATAAAAATTAAAACCACAATGAGACATCATATCATACCTGTCAGAAAGAATAATGAAAAAGGTGAAAGATAGCAAGTGTTGGCAAGAATGTGAAGAAAGGGGATTATTTGTACACTATTGGGAAAGTAAATTAGTATATCCATTATGGAAAACGTGATGAAAGTTCCTCAACAAACTAAAAATAGATATTACCATATGATCCAGCAATCCCGCTTCTAGGTATCTGCCCAAAAGATTTCAAATCAGTTTGTCAGAGATAGCTGTTCCTCCATGTTCACTGCAGCACTATTCACAGTAGCCAAGATATGGAATCAACATGGGTCCATCAACAGATTAATGGATAAATAACGTGTGGCATATGTACACAATGTAATACGATTCAGATTTTAAAAAGAAAGAAATTCTGTTATTTTTGACAATATAGATGGAACTGGAGAACAATATGCTAAGTAAAATAAGCCACCCACAGAAAGACAAACGCTGCGTATCCTAACATGCACAGAATCTACAACAATCAAGTTCATAGAAGCAGATAGTAGAATGGTGGATACAGACACCAGAAGTTCGAAAGAATGGGGAGATAATGGTCAAAGAGAATGAAAACTCAGTTAGAGAGAAAGGATTTTTTAAAATATTTACTGCACAGCATAGTGAATGTAGTTAATAATAGTGTGTTGTACAGTTCAAAATTGCTGAGAGAGTAAACTTCAAATATTCTCACTACAAAAAATAAGTATTTGAGGCTGGATATGGTGGCTCACACCTGTAATCCCAACACTTTGGGAGGCTGAAGAGGGTGGATCACTTGAGCCCAGGAGTTTGAGACCAACCTGGGAAACATGGCAAAAACCTGTCTCTTAAAAAATACAAAAAATTAGCCAAGTGTGGTGGCATGCACCTGTAATCCCAACTACCTGGGAGGCTAAGGTGGGAGGACCACCTGAGCCTGGAAGGTCGAGGTTGCAGTGAACCATGATTGCACCACTGCACTCCAGCCTGGGTGGCAGAGTGAGACTCCTGTCTTAAAAACTTAAAAAAAGTATTTGAGGTGGTGGGTATGTTAATTAGCTTGATTTAATTATTCCACATTGTATTTATAAATTCATTTTACACCCAACAAACATATACAATTATAAATTGTCAACCTATGATAAAAATGAAATAAATATATATACGTCAGGAACTTGAAAGATAATCTATAAAATAAAGAAATTAGAAATGTAGGCCAAAGTATTAGAATGTAGATAAACAAAACTATATATACATAATTCTGTTTAAAAGAAGGCAAAAATAAAGAACTCTGAAATGTAAATTAATCAGTTTTTGAAAACAGATTACTTCATTTTCTCTACTTTATTTCATGAAAAATTGAAGTAACAAATTGAAAAATAAAACCAAAGGAAAGAAGTTTACTGAACTACATTTAAAAGCTAAAAATGGATGACCAATTAAACAGTCATTATTAAAAGGGAAATTTAAAAAGGAAAACATGGGACATGAAAAAAACTATAAAATCTTTAAAAGTTAATGGAGAAACATATTTACATACCATATTCTAAGTGGGAAGATTCAGATTTAAATATGAAAAATATTTTAAACATTGTAAAAGTAAAAGTAGTAGATGAAAATATAGAAGAAGGCTTGTCTAAGAAAATATTTTTAAGGAAGATATGAAACACAGAAGCTATAAGGAAGAGAATGGACAGGTTTTCTGCATTTCTGTGTTGCAAAAGACAGACCATAAACACTAGGTAAAGTTCAGAATAAGAAAAATAGTTTTGCCACCTTGAGCCAGAAAGCAGGTAGAAAATCACGGCAGTTAAGAGCAAAGTTTCTCAAGTCAATCTGAGTTTGCTTCTTGCTTTGCCACTTACTGGCTGGCAAGTTACTTAATTCCATGCCTGAGACTCCTCATGTCTAAAATGGGATCATCATATGATCTCATGGGGCTGTAGAGGATTAAATGAGTGACTACTTACATAGCACATGGAACGCTGGCACTTTGTAAGTGCTCAATACATACTCTTATTAATTTATTAAAAAAACTTCTACTAATAAGAAAATAATAGATATCCCCTACAGATGGTTAAAATATATGAACTACCAGCTTACAGAAGAAATAGAAAATCTACTGTTTATATATATATAATAGCCTCACCATCAAAGAAGTTCAAACTAAATTGAGGTATTAATTTCTTCTCAAATGGGCCAAAAAATATTATTCATATCTGTTGTTGGTGAGGATATAGGCAAATAAACTACCTCATACACATTCTTCTTTTTTTCTATTTTTAGTATAAAATTGAGATGGGGTCTTACTATGTTGCCCAGGCCAGTCTGCTGGGCTCAAGTGATCCTCCCTCCTTGGCCTCCAAAGTGCTGGGATTGCAGGCATGAGCCACTGCACCTGGCCTCCTTTGTTCTCTTGATAAGGGTATAAATAGTTACCATATTTTAAATGGCATGTTATTGGTTTCTTTTACAATTTATACTTTTAACACTGAAATTTCATTCATAAAAATTTATCCTTCAAGTATGCAGGGGTGTGTGTGTGTGTGTGTGTGTGTGTGTGTGTGTGTGTATACACAAAAGTGTTTTTTACAATAGTGATATGATAGCAACAAAAACTAAAGCAACTAAATGTCCATTAATAGGATTCTTAATGATAAAGCCTTTTAAAAGAATATGGCTATCTTTATACCTACTAATTTTAAGTGAATAAAGCAAGTTGCACAACAGTATGTGTACGTTTTAAATATATATGTTTACATCGGCATAGGAAAAAGTCTGGAAAGATCTATATCAAATTACTGACAATAGTTAACGCTTTGAGAAGTGATGTGGAGGTAGGAGGTGAGGGGAAAATTCAAAGCAACATTTGCTTTATACTTTTATGCATTTCTGTAATGTGCGAGTATTTTTTTCAAATAATCATGCTTTATTTTTGCATTTGAAAGTAATGCAAACCTGGGATGAAAAAGCTATAATAAGACAAGCTTTTAAAAACAATGAAAAGTAGCAAAAATAAGAATAAAACTATATAAAGTAAAAATATCTACCATATAAACAAAAAGAGAAAAAAGGAAGTTAAAACTGCAGCAGGGTTTTGGTTGTAGGAAATCCCTCCCACGGTGAGGTATTGAGACTTTCCAACAGGATAAGGCTACATTTGAGAAAATAATGGCAAACCAGTGCCTGAGATGGAAGAGTCCAGTCCATGGCTACCGTGATGATTCTGAAGAGCAAGGACCTTGGTCTAGATCCCACTGAGACCTCATCCTATTCTAGAATTCTTTGGACCTGAATGATGACCTTATAGAGAGCAAAATACCAAGAATTCAGAAGCCGGCTATGTGAGCACTCAATAGAAGGGAATCAGGGAGTGTGGGCAATCCTAAACTCTGAAGTCAATTTTTCAAGAAAACAGAGAATGCTATTTTATATCAGCCTGAGTTGCCATTAAGGGTAGTGCTATAGTTTGGATATTTAACCCTCCAAAACTTACATTGAAATTTGATCCCCATTGTTGGAGCTGTGGCCTCATAAATAGCATCATTCCTCACAAATGGCATGGTGCTGTCCTTGTGGTAATGAGTGAGTTCTTGCTCTATTCGTTTCCAGGATAGCTGGTCATTGCAAAGAGCCTGGCACCTCCCCCCACCTCTCTTTGCTTTCCTCCCTCATCATGTGATCTCTGCACATGTCAGCTCCCCTTCCCCTCTGAATGAGTGGAAACAGCCTCAGGTCCTCACCAGAAGCAGATGCTGGTGTCCTACTTCTTGTACAGCCTGCATAACTGTGAGCCAAATAAACCTCTTTTCTTTATAAATTACTCAGCCTCAGGTATTCCTTTATAGCAACACAACTGGACTAAGACAAGTACAGATGGCTTCAGGGTGGGTGCCTGTGGTCCTGTCCACACTGATCATCCAGGGCCCCTAGCAGAACTCACCCTGTATACCTACACATCCCTGGGCAATCCCACAGGGCCCAGAGCCTCACCAGAAGTCTGGAATTCTCCACACCATGTGAGGTCATCAGCAAGGTAGCCTAGCAGCGTGTCCTCCAGGGTGAACATGTCCCGATGGACTCGTGTGTACTGATGAGCCAGATCTTTTATTCTGCTCCAAAGAAGAGTCTAAGAAAAAATAAATACGATCTATTACTAAGATCAGTTTAGCATGTCAAAAAATAAATCCACAGTTTTGTGAGTGAAAGAAAACAGAGCATATCAGAGTAAATCACACTTAGAGTAAAAATTGTAGGCATCAATGATTTCTGTGTGCTGGAGAGTGGGGGAGAGAGAGAGAAAGAGAGAGAGAGAGTGTGTGTGTGTGTGTGTGTGTGTGTGTGTATCTGTGTGTGTGTGTATCTCTCTCTCTCTCTCTGTGTGTGTGTGTGTGTGTGTGTGTGTGTGTGTGTGTGTGTGTGTGTTTTCTAGGTCATATTGTAAACAAATTTATTATTCCAGGTTGGAGTCAAAAAAAGTCTGAAAGCCACTGATCAAAACCTTATAATCAACATGGGATCACACCTGAAGGTGGCATTAGAGAGTTCCAATATTCCTAAGGTTATTTCCAAAAAACCTTTGTCTATGTGCTATTTTCAGGAAGACGTACTCTTTGATTCTTAAAGAACTACATAACAACTTCCAATTTCCCTAAACATTCCCTACCCCTATCAAAAAATATATACAATAGGTTTTTTTAATTTAAGAGTCCCTCTTAAAGGTACAGAGAGTCAAATTTCAGAATTATATTTCATGAATCTATTCATTCTTTTTTTTTAATTTTAATTTTAAGTTCTGGGGTACATATGCAGGATGTGCAGGTTTGTTACATAGGTAAATGTGTGCATGGTGGTTTGCTGCATCTATCAACAAGGTATTAAGCCCAGTATGCATTAGATATTTTTCCTAATGTTTTCACTCCCTCTACCCCTACCCCGACAAGCCACAGTATGTATTTTTCCCTCCTGGTGTTCTCATTTTCCAGTTCCCACTTATAAGTGAGAACATGCAGTGTTTGGTTCTCTGTTTCTGTGTTAGTTTGCTGAGGATAATGGCTTCCAGCTCTACTATGTCCCTACAAAGGACATGATCTTTTTCATTTTTATAGTTTTTTTTTTTTTTTTTCAATTTTCTGGCTATGGCTAGGCAGTTCTGAAGCACCAATTACTAAATAGGGAATCTTTTCCCCATTGCTTGTTTTTGTGATGGTTATCAAAGATCAGATGGCTGTAGATGGACAGTTTTATTTCTGAGATCTTTATTCTGTTCCATTGGTCTATATGTCTATTTTCATACCAGTACCACACTATTTTGGTGTCAGTATCCTTGTAGTATAGTTTGAAGTTGGGTAGCGTGATGCCTCCTGCTTTGTTCTTTTTGCTTAGGATTGTCTTGGCTATATGAGCTTTTTGGGTTCCATATAAATTTTAAAATAGTTTCTTCTAACTCTGTGAAGAATGTCAATGGTAGTTTAATGGAAATAGCATTGAATCTATAAATTACTTTGGGCAGTATGATCATTTTCAAAATATTGATTCTTCCTACCCATGAGGATGGAATGGTTTTCAATTTCCTTTTATACTCTCTGATTTCCTTGAGCAGTGGATTGTAATTGCCCTTGAAGAGGTCCTTCACTTCCCTTGTTAGCTCTATTTCTAGGTTCTTTATTCCCTTTGTGAATGGGTGTTCATTCATGATTTGGCTCTCTGCTTGCCTGTTGGTGTATAGGAATGTTTGTGATTTTTGCACAGTGATTTTGTATCCTGAGACTTTGCTGAGGTTGCTTATCCCCTTAAGGAATTTTTGGGCTGAGACAATGGGGTTTCCTAAATATTCAATCATGGCATCTGCAAACAAAGGCCACTGGACTTCCTTTCTTCCCATTTGAATAGACTTTATTTCTTTCTCTTGCCTGATTCTCCAGCCAGAACATCCAATACTATGTTGAATAGGAATGTTGAGAGAGGGCTTTCTTGTCTTGTGCCAGTTTTCAAGGGGAATGCTTCCAGCTTTTGCCCATTCAGTATAATATTACCTGTGGGTTGGTCATAAGTGGCTCTTATTATTTTGAGACATGTTCCATCAGTACCTAGCTTTAACATGAAGAGATGTTGAATTTTATTGAAGGCCTTTTCTACATCTATTTAGATAATCATGTAGTTTTTGTCTTTAGTTCTGTTTATGTAATGAATTATGTTTATTGATTTGTTTATGTTGAATCAGCCTTGCATTCCAGGGATGAAGCAAACTTGATCATGGTAGATAAGCTTTTTGATGTGCTGCTGGATTCAATTTGCCAGTATTTTATTGAAAATTTTTGTATCGATGTTCATCATGGATATTGGCCCTAAGTTTTCTTTTTTTGTTTTATCTCTGCCAGGTTTTGGTATCAGGATGATGCTAGCCTCATAAAATGAGTTAAGGAGGGGTCCCTCCTTTTCAATATTTTGGAATAGTTTCAGAAGAAAGGGTATCACCTCCTCTTTGTACCTCTGGTAGAATTCAGTTGTAAATCTATCTGGTCCTGGGCTTTTTCCTTTCTTTTCTTTCTTTCTTTTTTTTTTTTTTTTTTTTTTTTTTTTTTTTTTTTTTTTTTTTTTTTTTTTTTTTTTTGGTGGTAGACTATGTATTACTACCTCAATTGCAGAACTTGCTATGTGCCTATTCAGAGATTCAGCTTCTTCCTGGTTCAGTCTTGGGAGGCTGCATGTGTTCAGGAATTAATCCATTTCTTCTAGATTTTCTAGTTTATTTGCATAGAGCTGTTTACAGTATTCTCTGATGGTTGTTTGTATCTCTGTGGGGTCAATGGTAATATCCCTTTTATCATTTCTTATTGTATCTATCAGATTCTTCTGTATTTTCCTTTTTATTAGTCTAGCCAGCAGCCTATATATTTTATTAATTGTTTTCAAAAAACAACCTCCTGTATTGATTTATTTTTTGAAGGGATTTTTGTGTCTCTATCTCCTTCAGTTCTGCTCTGGGCTTGGTTATTTCTTGTCTTCTGCTAGCTTTGGGATTTTTTTTCTTGGTTTGCCAGTTCTTTTAATTGTGATGTTAGGATGTCAATTTGATCTCTTCCTAGCTTTTTGATGTGGGCATTTAGTGCTATAAATTTTCCTCTTAACAGAGCTTTAGCTGTGACCCAGATATTCTGATATGTTGTTTATTTCTTCCTATTAGTTTCAAAGAACTCATTAATTTCTGGCTCAATTTTATTATTTACCCAAGAATCATTCAGGAGCAGGTTGTTCAATTTCCATGTAATTGTGTGTTTTTGAGTGAGTTTCTTAATCTTGAGTTCCAATTTGATTGTTCTGTGGTCTGTGAGACTGTTATGATTTTAGTTCTTTTGCATTTGCTGAGGAGTAATTTACTTCCAATTGTGTGATCAATTTTAGAGTAAATGGCATGTGGTGCCAAGTAGAATGCATATGCTCTTGCTTTGGCATGGAGAGTTCTGTAGCTATCTATCAGGTCTACTTGATCCTGAGTTGAGTTCAGGTCTTGAATATCTTTGTTAATTTTCTGTCTTGATGATCTGTCTAATATTGACGGTGGGGTGTTAAAGTCTCCTACTATTATTGTGTGGGTGTCTAAGTCTCTTTGTAGGTCTCTAAGAACTTGTTTTACAAATTTGGTGTTCCCGTATTGGGTGCACATATATTTATAATAGCTCTTTTTGTTGAATTAAGCCCTTTATCATCATGTAATATCTTTTTTTATCTTCTTTGATCTTTGTTGGTTTAAAGCCTGTTTTGTCATGAACTAGGATTGCAACCCCTGCTTCTTTCTGTTTTCCATTTGCTTGGTAAATATTCCTCCATCCCTTTATTTTGAGCCTATGTGTGTCTTTGCATGTGAGATGGGTCTTTCGTATACAGCACACCAATTGGTCTTCATTCCATCCAGCTTGCCATTCTATGTCTTTTAATTGGGACATTTAGTCCGTCTACATTTAATGTTAATATTGCTATGTGTGAGTTTGATCCAGTTATTATGGTGTTAGCTGGTTATTTTAAAGACTTGTTTATGTAGTTGCTTCATAGTGTCATTGGTCTGTGTCCTTCAGTGTGTTTCTGTAGTGGCTGATAACGGTTTTTCCTTTCTGTATTTAGTGTTTTCTTCAAGAGCTCTTGCAAGGCAGGCCTGTGGTGATGAATTCCCTCAACAATTGCTTGTTTGAAAGAGATTTTATTTCTTTCTCATTTATGAAGCTTAATTTAGCTGGATATGAAATTTGAGGTTGAAGATTCTTTTCTTTAAGAATGTTGAATATTGGCCCCCACTCTCTTCTGGCTTGTAGGGTTTCTTCTGAGACATCTGCTGTTAGTTTGATGGTCTCCCCCTTGTAAGTGACCTGGAGAATCTGGTGATCATGTCTTGGGGTTGATCTTCTCATGGAATATCTTACTGGGGTTCTCTGGATTTCCTGAATTTGAATGTTGGCCTGTCTTGCTAGGATGAGGAAGTTCTCCTGGATCATATCCTGAAATGTGTTTTCCAACTTGGTTTCATTCTTCCTGTCTCTTTTAGATACCCCAATCAGTCGTAAGTTCTTTTTACATAATCCCATAGTTCTCAGACGTTTTATTTGTTCCTTTTCATTCTTTTTTTCTGTAATCTTGTCTGCCTGTTTTATTTCAGCAAGATAGTCTTCAACCTCTGATATTCTTTCTTCCGTTTGGTCTATTTGTTTATTGATACTTGTGTTTGTATTGTGAAGTAATCATGTTATGTTCTTCACTCCATCAGGCCATTTATGTTCCTCTCTGAACTAGTCATTCTGGTTAACAGCTCCTATGTGTTATCATGGTTCTTAGCTTCTTTGCAGTGGGTTAGAACGTACTCCTTTAGCTCAGTGAAGTTCATTATTACACATCTTCTGAAGCTTATTCTGTCAATTCATTCATCTCATTCTCAGCCCAGTTCTGTGCCCTTGCTGGAGATGTGTTAAGATAATTTGGAGGAGGAGAGGCACACTGGCTTTTTGAGTTTTCAGCATTTTTGTGCTGATTCTTTCTCATCTTCATGGGTTTATCTACCTTTTTAATCTTTGAGACTTTTGACCTTTGGATAGGTTTTTATGGGGTCTTTTTCATTGATGTTGTTGCTTTCTGTTTGTT